GCTTCTTATTAGTGCTGTTTGCAGGCCAAGGTTCCCTCTCCTGCCAGCTGCAGTGTTGGTAAAGGACTGAAAGTTCCTTGGTAGAGCAGAAATCTGCCCTCCACTGTAGCTGGGTTGAAATCCCTGACTCACAACTAATTGGCAGATTACACTTATTCCTGTAGCACACCTGTGAGTTCTGAGTAAAGGTGTGGTGGGGCATAGAAACTGGACCCACCACCAGTTTGTATGTGGGGTTGGCTCTTATTCAGGACACGAGTGTAAAGAAACATCCAGTTTACGGCCCAATTTTAATTGATAGATGGCCATAAAGACCTAATTCAGATCAAACTGAGGTCATTGTGCTCGGCCCTGACAACCAGATTCCTCCTCTGGATGGCATGACCTCGGCCTCCTGTTTGACCAGGACATGTCCTTCAATGCACATATTAAACAAATATGTAAGGCTGCTTAACATCTCTAAAATATCCTGTCTCAGAGTGATGCTGAGAAACTCCAGGGGAAGGGGGGGAGCAGTACATTTTCAGAGACCATCTTTCTCCTGCATTGGCTCGCTGTTAGATCCAAAATTGAGTTGTGCCATGTAAGTAAAGGTGTTTGTTTCTTCTCAGGCCAGAGGTATTGATGTTCAGCAGGTTTCCCTTGTCATCAACTACGACCTGCCAACCAACAGGGAAAACTACATCCACAGGTGAGGATATAAACTGTTTGCAGACATGATTGGCAGCTATTCACAACAGGCAAATGAAATGTTCACGTCCACATTAGTTGTAATTTTTAGACCACTTTGGGGAAGTTGTTACGTGGCATGTTAATGGCATGACCCTGAAGTTGCATTTATTGGTGTAAAATGAAGCAAAGTCTTTGTCCAACGTGAGCATGAGCAGCAAACCCAAAGAGATGATATCTGCAGTGACGGTGATCCTTTTTGTTTTCGACAGGATCGGTCGAGGAGGTCGTTTCGGCAGAAAGGGAGTAGCCATTAACATGATAACCGAGGATGACAAGCGAACACTGAGGGACATTGAGACATTCTACAACACCACCGTGGAGGAGATGCCCATGAACGTGGCCGATCTTATCTAGAAGACTCCCCGCTTCTGTTTGTCCACCCATATCCGATTGTTTTAGAAGTAAAAGCTTGTTTCCTACAATACGAATACTAAAAACTTCCTTTTTCTAAATTCCACCCTGAATTTACTCAGCATTTGACATGATTTTGGAAGAATAACTTGCTGACCCGCTCCATCTGCCATTGTCTTTTATCGACCCTGAAATTCTCCCAGCGGTTAAATACTCTGCTTCACGCCAGAACTGTTTCCAAAAGCACATTTAAAGTCCAGTGATGACATTATACTTGCTGATTGTTGGCAAAGAGACACTGTTGATTTGAAGCTTGTGTGAGGTTTGACTGTTGCAGCGTCGGTCGGCTGACCCGAGCAGTCTGGACTCGACGGTGTTCTGAATGAACAGCGGTGTGATTGACTAGCTCAGTATTTAAACAATCTTCAGTGTATTTGCACAACGTTCATCGCACGCCCACGGTCATGTTTACAGCAGGTTTTGGGTTCTGGAAGTAAACAGGACATGATCAATAAAATGAGCTGTACAGTGGCTGACAAATTTGATCCTCTTTACTGCTGTGCTTTTTCTGCTTTTCCTCCTTTCCCACTGCGGCCGTAACCCTGTTCAGCCATTTGTACAGTAGAGTTCAGAGGAGGAGTGCTTGCAGGCGGAAACGGTGAGTTGTAGCGATTTGGCCTCCTGACCCAGATCCAAGCGGCTTTTTTTTGGTTTTTATTTTTTTCCCCGTCTCCAGTTTGTTGAGATTGGAGTTTTTTTTAATTTTTACAGGGAATATAAGATTTCAAATGGTTGTGGTCATGTTTTGTAACCTACCTCATCCAAATCTTATAGGTGAATGGGGAGTGTCATCTGGACCAAACTACAAATATAAAAGTATATAGAGATTTTTATCTTACTTTCCACTCCACCAAAAGTTTCTGAGCTCTCGTATTATGAGGTGTGTGCTATCAGTGCTAATTTTTTTTTTTTTTTTTTTTCCCCAAATGTATGGATTGTTCCCCCCTCCTTTTTTTTTTTTCCTTTTTTTTGAGACAGTGTATCAGGTTTTCTACATTGGATACTGTATAGTATTTATTTTATTGGTCTTTAAAAGAAAAACAATAAAAACATTCTTTTCTTTTCCTTTTTTTAAAGCTGTAAAGCAGCCCTCTGTTGGCCAAATCCTGTGTGGTGTCTACTTTTGTGGCAAAGCTCACTCAGTGACGTGGGCGATGGAGTGGAGCAGTCAATGTTAGAGCTGGAACTCTTATAATATTCACATCTTCAGACACGCTTGTGTCACATCAAAGGAGAACGTGTGTCGGTGTCTCTTGCATTTCCCATCATTTATTTTCCCGTTGTCTTTTTTTTTTCTCCCAATTAAAGAGCTCATTAAGATCTGAATCTTCATTAAAAAGAGTCACAGCCCTGAGACAACAGAAGCGTTATAGGACTCAATTAATTTGCTTCTATTCAAATATTTGATGTTTGTGTGAAACGGTGTCGAGGCCTGACCCACACCACCGTGGGTGCAGCAGCTAAAGACCGTACCAGTTTACTGAGGCCATGGCTGGTTGACGGACTATTGCATAGAGTGCAATTCTTCATAATAAAGTACTAAACATGTAACGGCATAAGGCATGTCTACGATAAGGTAAAGATACATGTGTGCATTTGTAATAAAGCTGGAATATAAAATAATGAAATGGAGAAGCATACAGTGTTTTTCCTGCTAAGCAAATAGAAGCTGTCTGAGAAGTAGCACCATCGGCATGTCCTGCAGGAGGCCAACAAATGTATGAACTATAACGTCTCCGTCCACTAGAGGGAGCCATCGATTCAGCCTTACTGACATAATCAGCCCTGTACTCTCTCTAGCACACATGCACACTCTTGTGGATTTGCATTTTCTTTCTCTCCCAGCCTGTTGGTGGAGCGACACTGACAGTTTATCCACAGACTAATTTCCAGCTCACAGGCACAGACGTAAGATAGAGAAATGTTAGCCCTGGGATGGACGGGCAGCCTTATTCCAGCTTCCCGTAGTTCCATAATCGTGTCTGCACAGCCTAAAAACATGGTGCACATCTCTACTTTGAGGCCTGCTTCTCAGGTTAGGTGGTCCCTTTTCCAAAGGCGCTGTTTGTGGTGAATGTACCCTGTGCCCATCCCCCAAATGCCACATGCACACTGTGGGTACCAACTCGCTCCCTGTTGGGTGTTGGATCGCAGGGTTGAGAGATGGTGGGATGGGGTGGGTGGATTATGTGAGTGTGAGGCTTGTAAAAAGGCTGCCATGGTCTTTCTTTGTGTGACGGATGGCTGGGAGGCTGAACGGGCCTGTTTTGCATGATAAGAGAAGCCAGCGTAGGGAAGAATAGAGGTCTATTCAAGCCCTGTCATCCAAATCCACCCTCCTGCACCAACCCATCACCCACCCCTTCATCATCCATCCCTTCATCATTGCATCCCTCCTCCTTTCTTTTCACCTTCATTTTCTGGCCTTCCCTGTTTTCATTGGTTATTTCTCCCCCTATAAATCTATAGCCTTTACCCACTTCTCTGACCTCCAAACCCCAGCTTATTTTATCCAACTTTATTTCTGTTCATTCAGATTTCCCCTCCTTTCCATCAAGCTGTTTGGACTTTGATGCGTTCCAAAACATTTGAATCTCATCATTATTTCGTGGGTCTGCTGAATGAGGAGATATAATGGAAATGTCACGGTCCAAGCTTTTTAACATTAAAAGAGTCTCTGATTCTCTGACATGTTCACAAAGTCAGCAGGAGATAGTACGGCATAATTAAACTAATCGAAACAGCCACATAGTACTCTATTATCATTCTTTAAAGCTCTGATTGTGAGTACTACTCAGAGCTGGCTACATTGTAGAGGTCTTTACCTTCCAATATAAAACACATGTTGTGATTTGGTATAAATAACATTGAAGTTATTGGAACTAAATTCGACCCAAACTCTCATCTGAAGCTTCTTGTTATGATTGTCTCATCAGTGTTGGCTTTAAAGACGCTCTGATAACTGATTTTGGTTACGTACCAACAGAACAAACACTTTTAATTCAGCTTTTTCAAACATCCCAACTTCACTTCACAGTGATAAAATTATTTTACAAAACTACCAGGGTTGTATCGACATTGCTGCAGTCGTTTGCTGTGGTTCAACAAGACTCGCACATCTCCAAAGTAATCCCACTACATTCTTGGCGACTTTCAAGCTCCTCCAAATTAAACTGTCAAGGACTTTCAATGGAATTCAAGTCAGAGCTTTTTTACTTGTTGTTCCGAAGGTGGTTCACCATGAGGGATGTATGTTTGGTGTTATTGTCATGTTGGAAGATAAAGCAACGACCCAGACCCAGTTTTGCTGCCGACTGCTCCGGGTTTCCAAATTTTCCCAATTCCTTCCACTTTGACGACATTCACAGTTCCAGACGCTCCGAAGCATCCCTGCAGATTAGTACTCTCGTCATTGTGTGTCACTGTGGGGATTGTGTTCTTTCTCCAAACATAAGCAGCGTCTCTATGGCTAGTTCTCTCTGACCAAAGGACGGGCTTCCAGTGTGCATAGTCTTTCTCCAGGTTGTCTTTAGCGTATCTCAGTCTGACTTAAAGGTTTCCATTGCTCTGCTTCCTGTGCAGGGTGCAAGTAACTGTCTTCTTTGAAACAACAATTGCGACTGTTCTACTGGCTTCACTTGTGTGTCGGCAGTTGTTCTGGGATCTTTGGATGCATCTCTCACTAGTCTTTTACCTCCTACCTCTGTAAGGCTTGTCCTGGCTCTCTTTGAGTTTCTCGATGATACTTCCACTCCAGTTCTTGACAGTTGGAAATGCTGCAGTAACTTTTCATATCCACCTCCTGAGTCATGAACACCAACATATCTTTTCCTCAAGCTAAACTGATTTCTTTCGTTTTTGGCATGAAGCTTTCTAAAGCTGCAGCTCAAACTTCTATTGGATGTAAACTGGAAGATAAGCCTCAGTCACATTTTACCAGCTACAAGTTTTACAAAGCCATTGCACACCCATGGTTTGTGCTATTACTCAATAACATGGTTGGTTTTCAGGAGCTATTTTTTTTTTTAAATAATTCTGTTATTGTGTGCAAATAATTTACGCTTTCTAGAGAAAACTTTTAGGTTTGAAATGCTAAGTTGAAACTCTCTTGCGCTTTTAAAAACTCTGGAAGCAGAGCTGCGTGTGTGAAACAGTCCCGACAGGCTGTGCGACACAATATGTCTCTGTTGAAATGAAATTATTGGATCTTTGATGGTTTTTCTCTTGCACCTCCCTAACCAACCAGCGGCAGCATGCGCTCCTCTCTCAGCCTGGCCCTGGCTAACAGTTAGAGGGAGTTGTGTCCCCCGTGTTGCCCACAGAGGAGCTTTCATCGTTGGGGGTTTCTTTGTGTTATTGTCGGACGGTTACCCCGCAGTATCAAACACTGTTGTTGTTGTTGTTGTTGTGCTTTATAAAGGAAATCGAACTGGTTATAAACACAAAACACTGTTTACTCTTTTAGTTTTTGTTGTTTGTAGTATTTCAACTTTTATGATTATAGATACATTTATATTTTCGGATCTTTCGAACCATATTTTAAGCCCGGAGACGCGTGACAGTCTGCGTGGCTGTCTCCACAGACAACTTTGCTAAAACCTCGTTTTCAGTATATAGTTTACAGTTGCCCGGGGATTATTAAGATCGTCTTGTCTTACTGGAATGCTTCCTCTCACCAACTCCGTCATCAACAAGTGTCTCACGCACCCCCGGAGCCCTTTCATTTGCAAATGCACACGCACAGAATGAAGCTTTTTGCCATTCCCATTGGTTCATGCCTGACTGCACGAGAATAGGAGAACTTTGGGAGTGAACAGACAGATGAGTTCAGTGTGTGAGCTGGCTGTCTGACAACAAGTGGTTTTCCGTAAACTCTTTCACTGCACTGAAACCGCACAACTTTACTGTGAAAGTGTATCTCAGTGCTAGTTTAATGACTGCCTCGAGAGACTTTTAATTTAAGAAAGGGGGGGCAGGTTGTCCGCTGCAGTCTCACGGGTGTGTCGTGCGTAAGCCCCGGGGAAACGTGTAACTAAACCTGGCCAAAAGTCGCCAGATTGACGGCGACGAAGGCTCCTGAGTGCTCGATCGTTTATTTGTAACTCAACTTTCCTACTTTTCCCAGCATGTACAGCATGATGGAACACGAGCTGAAGCCGACTGGCCAGCCCCCTTCTCATCAGACCTCCCAGGGAATGTCACCGGTCACCGGCACCATGACCGGGAGCATGGGCAGCAATGGAAACTCTCACCCGAGCTCTAAAACGGCATGCGCACCTGGAGCCGACCCCATGGATAAAGTCAAGCGGCCCATGAACGCTTTCATGGTCTGGTCCAGGGGGCAGAGGCGCAAGATGGCACAAGAAAACCCGAAAATGCACAACTCTGAAATCAGCAAGCGGCTGGGGGCCGAGTGGAAACTTCTGAACGATGCTGAGAAGCGGCCTTTCATTGACGAGGCCAAGCGGCTCCGTGCGGTCCATATGAAGGAGTACCCTGACTACAAGTACAAGCCACGACGCAAGACAAAGCCTTTACTCAAAAAAGACACTCAGGTAGGCAAGTACCCACTGACAGCGGGAAACCTGCTGGTGGCAGCGGCACAGAGCCAAGGTGGGAGCCCCAGGATGGAGAGCTATGGCTGGGGCCCCACCGGAGGATACGCCGGCATGCAGGGCGAGGCACTGGGCTACACACAGCAGCTCCACCGGTATGAGCTGTCAGCTCTCCAGTACCCACCTGCAATGACGGCACCGCAGACGTACATGAACGGGGCAAACTCATACAGGTGAGTGTGTGTCTGCGTTTCTGCAAAAACAACAACCGCGCATGTTCCCAGCGCACGTTAAAGATGGCAAAACACGCACAGATACGATACTGAGCAGCAGCGTTTAAACTGTAGGTTACTTCTTCATTGGGCTTCTCCAAACTCAGGTCGAAGGTGTTAAAATCTGGTGAAAACGGAGTGTGCAATCCTTCAGTTAGTAAATAATTTATTTCTCTGTGCTGAAAATCCCCTCACTGTTATATTATTTTACATAATTTCCTTGGGGATTTTTAAAGTATCCTGATTCTGATAAAAAAAAAAAACGAGTCTGAGAAATGTCTTTTTTTACTGAATGAAAATTAAGATACCAGAAATAAGTAATGCTGGATGTTCTCAAACTGCCACAGGACTCATCATGCTGAGTTTATTCAAATGAGGCACATATGTTGCATCCATTCCCACCGAATCACAAAGAAGTCTACATATGATTGAGCAACGAGGTTTGTCTGCATTCCTCTGCTTGCAGTCTTTATCAGTATAACTTGTTGGCAAGCAGGCTTGCTCTGTGTGTGGTCCCCTGCCCACAG